GGGGGGGTTTCAGGGCGTAAGTGGTATAGGCAAGCATCGGGTGTAGAGGAGAAGGGTAAAGAAATGTAGAGGATTAGTAATACTACAACATCTGCGCTATATTTCTCCTACCAAGATTTTTGTTTTATATAAGCCATGTTGCGAATTGCGATGGTGATTAGATATTAGAGGTAAAAGGAACAGAAGAATTTAAAGACCTACTAGTCTTTCTTTCTATATCCAAGGTGTTTCTTAAGGAAAGATGTCATGAAATGTGTTTAGCAGTCGAGATCTAATATACAAGGCTATTTTCCAGAGTGGTGGTGTTTTTTCTTTGTGGGGGGGTTTATTTGCTCGTGATCAAAAGGGGGGTTTGATGTAAGCTGTTAGATTACGATTTTTTATTTTTTTCGAGTCGTGCTTATGGATGATTAGTGGGGACTGAGGCTCAAAGAGAGACATGTCGATGCTGTGTCCTTCAAGAATATACGGTTATAAGAGGAGTTGTATGTAAAAGTCTGCAGGTTCTTTGCTAGAAGATGGAAGACTGCATGTGTGAGCTAAGCTCTGCAAGCAGTCAGTTAGTATCCTTATTGAGAATGGGTGTAGGTGGCACGCTTTTGGTTTACTAGAAGTTTTTTTTTTAGATGATGCTATAAGTATCTTGTACCCTCCAAGTCTTTGATTTCCTGTTTCTTCAACACGAACGCCTTTGTGCGAGTCGATGTGGTTGGCGTCGCAGCTCTACAGTATAAAGAAAGCAGTGGCATGTGGGTCTTGTGCATTGAGGGAGGGAGGCAGAAAGCAAGAGAGGTCTGTGATACTTACGTCTCTACCACAGTCCCAGCCTCGGAAAGTGTCTGATGGAATGATGATCTAGTAAGCGGAGTAAGGAGACCATAGAGGCGGAAATAATCAGTGTCATGGACCTGTGCCCTCTGTTTCTCTACTTACTCTCCCTGGACTCGCATGGTGACATGCAGTGAAGTCACATTTAGCCATACTGGTGTGTGTGGTCCTCGGTTCTGAAGCCACCATGGCAGGTCATGGCCACTTTTTTGAGACCAGAGACGAATGTTCAGCAGTGTCATAGCCAATCTGATTCAGAAAATCTTCTCATCCTAGAAGTACTCATCATCTTGATAAATATGCGTAATCATCTTTATCACATACCGATCAGCGTCTCATGTCAGGGAAATCGGCGACTTAAACCTGCTACAAGCCATGCTCACAGTTTTTCGATTTCATACGTCTTTGTCAAAGTCACAGACCATGAGAACAAGCAAGGGCGTGTATTCTCCAAACCTTGATGTCCAGAATAGATCTTCATAACCGTGTGGTAGAGCCTAACAGGTTTGAAGATGTATGGCCGCAGCGTCCGGTTGTAGACTCTGACGTTCGAGTTCAGTGTTTTTCTGACAAGACAGAGAAGACCAGCAGGTTCATGACTTTTATCTCCCAAAACTCCCACTCTGTTAATCGTGATATAAAGCAGTGGTGCCAAGTATGCCAGCGTGGACGCGATCGGGGTTTGACATCATGAAGGTTCACTGACCTGATGACTTCTCTGGTTGGGCGATCAAGAGATAGTTACAAAGTGGCTCATGTACCAGCACTGGTTGTCGTCCCAGAAACCGCAATGGCGGTGTATGATGTTCCTTGACAGGAAAAGCTTCTGATCCAAAGACGCGAGTTTATATATACGTTTTGGACATTGTAACAGCTGTCACATGTACACGTGGCATAGGTGGTGACGAAGATGGTACAGGGTGTCATCATGTTCTTCGCATTTGTACCTTCGAAATACACCTGGAAGCACAAAAGTAAGATCCTTTATACGAGGTAAACGTACCAAACCATCCAGACATTCTCTTCCTCAGCGTCTCATTCTTACAGCACCAACCTCCCTCGCAGTCTCCACAATCATGCTCAACGCATCATTTTCCTTTGCCGTGAATTTGAACAATTTGTTACTCTTTAGAGTCGCCATTCCATGTCCTGCAATCCTCCACTCTGCTGGCTCGTTCGTTTCCTTAGTCTCGGAAAGATAGTTTTCCCAAATGCTGATGGCAGTGTCTTTTGGGTCTTCAAAGTTGTCGTCGAGGATCCAGCCGCTGAACCAGAGTGGTCGATTGGAGGTGGAGAGGTGCAGGAGTTGAGGGGAGGAGATTGTGTAGAGGGGGTGGATTGGGAGGTCGCGCTTTTCGTGAGAAGTGGTCACTCCGAGATCAGGTTCGTCACTGAGGTCGTTGGCCTTTCCTGTATCTTCTGCAGTCTCCTTCTCTAGAGTTGATTGTGAGGTGGGAGGTTGGTAGTCCTTGAGGACTTCTGCCTTACCGTCTACCAGCTTATAGTGAATCTGTTCGGACACGATGCCCATGTTGCCTGTAGCGCCTTCGTTGAACCAATAGTCTGTATCTCCGGCAAGCTCCCAACCAAGCCAGAAAGTCTCTTTATCTCCGTAGAACAATGAGAATACACCCTTGGAACCAGTCTTGGGGTTGTCATCACGGTCAGGACCGTTCATTCGGGCGACAGTCAGCATGGCAACAAAGTGACGCCACTTGTCCACAACAAGGACCCCGGAGTCCTGCTGCTCTCTGCTTTTTCCAGTCCAGTAGCGAGAAGTCTGAGCTTTCCTCGAGATAGGCTTGGGAAGCATGTCCTTGAGCCACTGCTTACGAGACGAAGGAGAGGTAATCCTGTCGCGGAAGAAGAGAGTACCAGTCTCGACATAGCCAGGATCCTCAAAGAGCACTTCGGGGTTGACAAAGAACAAGGCATCGGCATCCAGATAGATGACCTCCCGGAAACTAGACATGAGGAGAGCAAAAGGTTTGGATGCTGAGCCCTTGAGCTCCCAACCTTCATCAGAAACCATTTGGCTTAGATTGCGGGCAATAACACCTGGTACGGCTTCGAGCTTTGTTCTCCAGTCTTCGTTGAGTTCGTTCTCGAGATACATGATCTCGACGGGCAGACTGGACCCCAGCTTACGAATGACCTTGAGCGAAGTCAAAATGTAGGGTGCTTGCTTGTCGTTTCCAGAGAGCACAATTCCTCGACCGCCATTACGGAAGTGAGAGTGAAGGGCCATATGATCCCCAAAGTAAGGCGATGTGTAAGGGAATAACATGTGTGACAGTCGTCCCAGGAAAGCTCTGTATCTCTCGTAGGCTCTAACGATATCTCCACGCTCCAGCTGCGAGACCTCGGAGAGTTCTTTTTCAGGAGCGTTCTCTAGATATTGGATGACATCGTCCCGAACATAGGCCAATTTCGAGTTGTTGACAACGTGAAGGGTTTCCCAGGTGGCGAAGTACTTGTGGAAAGCCCTGATCTTGGTACCCAGTTCCTTGAGACGCTCTTGGCCACCGCCCTCGAGAGGCTGAAGCAACTTGCCAGCGTGGGTTTCGTCTGGCATGTTGTCGAGGATATCCTTTAGAGCCTCGCGAAGGGATTCTTTGTCGCCATTGCCGATCTTGTGAGCAGTAGGTACAGACTCTGTATCATCTGAGAGATCGACCACGGATGCTCTGTCGCTACCAGTCTCTGACACATAATCAGACCCTGCCTTCATGTCCGGCTCTTTTGTATCCGCCTGCGAGTCCTTCAGCTTTTCGTACTCTGCCTCATCATCTCCTTTAACACGGTTCACAGTATGCTCCATCTCTTTTCCGTTGTCCGTCTTGATGTCCTCTTGCTCATGCGTAGTCTCTGTCCACCTGCCGCTCTCCGTGTCACCATAGCCGCGTGGAGGTTCGTATTCGGCGACAGGCTTGGTTGCGTGGTCGCCGAAGTTGATCTTGTCTTGCACACTACTATGTGTCCATGTCGACGACTTGGGGTTGTGTGTTACAAGGATGTAGCATAGAACTATGGCGAGGGAGATTGAGAGTATGCGGACAATGTGGGTTCGTCGTCGCGGTTGATGGAAGGATGTGTACTTCGATGGCGAGCCTGGAGTTAATGGTGTTCTGTACCCCTTGGTAGGTGTGCCGCTCCGCGAAGACCGACTGCTGTACATGTTGGCGTTCAGAGAGTACGAACTAAAGGATGAGATATGGTTATGAAGAAGCAAGCACTGGTAGGACCGAGGCTTCAGGTCGGTCTAATGCTAAAAGAGCGCCAAAGTTTAGGATGTAGTGGATGGTATCGAGAAAATTGCAGGGGAACGCTCCTTTTCGCAGGACCACGCAGTTGATGCAGTAGCCACGAACGTTGCGATGCTGAGGATGAACCCGAGCTGATCGGTGTAGACATACTAGCCGTTGAGATTGAAATCCTGAAGGCTAGACTTTTACGACAGAGCGAGCATACTAAAGCCCCTGTTCCAACGGTCATGCCTATGTCAAGCTTCCCGGGGATCTAGCGTACGGTTGATGTCGGCTCGTTCGCGCCGATAAGGGGGAAGCTTCATGGTGCATACTAGCTGCGAAGCATGAGAGGTTCTTGTATCGATGGCGAACAAGACGAGGAATGCTACCTTTCATGGCGTTGAGTTGCTTTTCGTGTTGGAAGCACGCCTCGTATCATCCGCGCTGCACCATGTATTTGCCTATTGATCATTAAGATTAGACAAGGTGAATACGAGTAGGAAAAAGGATCGCGTGAACAGGCGTCGACGCTAGAAGCCGAGTAGAAAGCAAAACCACGACCCTCGCCAAGACAAGCACGACCTTGCTTGCTCCTCTAGTTACCACTTGCTTCCAAGAGACTATGCAGGAGGTATGACAATTTCTCACAACATAATCACGACAGTAACGGGAGACACATGGAATAGAAGCATTGGTTGATTTCAGGAAGAGAAGAATAGCAACATCGAGGCCCTCAGCCCATGTCACTTGCGGCCCAGCCCCTTTTCACAAAAGCCACTTCAGCTCACGCTTCTCGCAGCAACATGAGGAGGAAGAATAGGAACAAAGAGACGCATCGAGATGAGTGCCAGGAAGGCTTGGATGGTGTTGCGAACTCCAGCCCGAGGGGAAGTTTCGGTGGCCACGAAAAGTCAGGCGCTCTGTGTAGGTGAGGTGTTATATGCTTGTCGCGAGTCGAGTTAAACGACTGGACCTGCGCGATAGTCGTTGTAACTGGTGGCGCTGGTATGCTGGCTCAGATACGTTCAACGGAAGCAAGACGTCCAGGGAGGCTGCCTCCGGCAGTACCTGGTCCCCAGCTTGCTTGGCTTCCTTGACGACGTTGGGATTGCCTCGGATGATTGACAAGACTGCGCAGACTCGATACAGTGCTCAGTTCTGACTCCTCTCTGCGATCCGAAGAACCCAGCACGACAAGCGGTTCGACCTCGTTTACTTCCTCAATTGTCTCAAAGTCCTCGTCCGGGCTTGGAGCAAGGGTCGTCAAGTCCTGCTCCGGGCCTGGAACGAGGGTCGTCATGCTTGTCGGCACTGATGATATTTGGTGCTCGATTTGAATAGTCTGCTCCAGACCCTTCGAGATAACGAGTTGTCCTGGTGTCGTGGGTTGTACCGAGTCGGTGATGACGGCAGCACTATGGACTGTGATGGGAAGGAGGTCTTGCTTCAGACGCTTTGGATGTCTGGGGTGGTGCACAGCAACGTAACCCTCGGGCTGGAGAGGCTGTCCAGGGAAGTCTCCTTTCGACCAGCAATGACGACTTTTATATCTATAAAACTTTCCGTTCGGGTACTGAACAAAGATGTCGGCAGGTCCATGTCTCCAGTATCGATATCTCACTTCCTGATATAAAGGGTAGTAGAGCAAGCCAGGTCCTTCTGCAGCAGGCCCCTATGCTTGCTGGACAACTTGACCACGACCTCTTCGTACATCCTCTCTCATCTTGGCAGCCCGTTTGCCATCGGGGAAGCGTAGGATGATATACCAGGCATGGAGAACACCGGGTATCCAGCCGCAGATTGTGAGCACGATGTTGATGACAAAGTGGTGATCAATACCAGTCCGCTTCGCAACAGGCAGTGGTGGTAAGATTATGGCTAGGAGTGAAAGGATGAAGCCGCCCTGTAATCTGTCAGTAGGTTCCGATCGAGAATGACGGAATGTTGTCACATACGCAAAGACCCATGATGAAGAAGCCGCGGCGAGGGTCGAGGATGAGGAATGTTGATGACAGTGAAGTAGTTGGTTTGAAGGATGTAGAATGTTCAGATTAGATGGTTGCGATAGCGATTGATTGAAGGTCGATGATGGAGAAGAGATGAACGATCAGGCAGAGAACTTCAAGTTCTTATCATGTTCAATTGTGGAAAGTCTACCGTCTGGAAAGCACCTTCCCTCAGCTTCCGGTCTGTTGATGAACACGCAAGCTTATGACGATGCCAAGTGAACGTTTTTACCTTTTGCTTCCATGGTGTCTTTAGAAGAGCGAGCCTATAGATAGTATGTGGTACTCAAGTCGTGGCAGAAAAGTTTTCTTGCTGATGCTCAATACTGGATACGTCCTTGGATACGTTGTGAATACGGTCGGGAAAATTTGGCTAGCTAGGTCCAAATCCGCTCGCCGAGCGGCCGAGAGATGTCATCGACCAGTCTTCTCCGTACTCGGAGTACACAATAGCATCATGGGTGATCATGCACGTCTGGCTTGAACTCTGAGGGAGAATTATCGTTGCGACTTGAGCTCATCTACCAACTGTCGAAATTGCCAAATCCGCCAGATTTTGCCTTTTTCTTTGGCGGCTCAGGCTCATCCCACTCGCCAACGATTTCATCCTCTTCGACCGGCGCCGCAGAGTTAGTCTTCAAATACTTTCCGACACTCGCAGGTGCGGCATCCTCAGCTTTGCCATCACCTCTAATCCTCTTGCCAGTCCATGTGGTCTTGTCATCTTCCGTACCACCTTGACGTTGAATCTCTTCTTTCAGCTTTTGCGCGTCTTCGTTCTGAGCACGCTCTTTCTGGAACTCTTCGAAAGGATCTACAAATACAACGACGTCTTCGAGAATGCAATCATCGATGGGTCGGTTGCCTTCATCCGTCTTGACGGCTTCAAGTCGTGATAGTGTGTCAGTACCTCCGACCACTCTGCCGAAAATTGTGTGTTTCTTGTTCAAATGAGGCACCGCTCGGTAAGTGATGAAGAATTGTGATGAATTGGTGTCTTTGCCTTTGTTGGCCATGGAGAGGATTCCGCGTGAGTCGTGGACCAGAGAGTTCTCAGTCTCGTCCGCAAAATTCTTGCCCCAGATGGACTGACCACCTCGACCTGTTCCTGTTGGATCACCACCTTGAATCATGAAGTTGGGGATATTTCGGTGGAAGGGAATATTCTTATAGTAGCCTTTCTGTGCCAGGCGGACGAAGTTCCAGACAGCCTTGGGAGCAAGATCGGTATGTAGCTCAACGTTGACCTCGCCATGATTGGTCTGTAGGCGAGCATAACCTTTGTGCTTGACACGCTTGGGTTTCAACATATAGTCTTCGTCTGACAGCAAGGCGCGCTCGTTGCCAGTATGAACGGAAATACCAGTACTGGTGAAAGAGGCAGCAGCTTTACCTGTCGTGTACTGAGCAGCGTTGTATGGTACGGGTTTTGATGCGCCAGTAGCAGTGTTTGACTTCTTTGCCTCTGCCATGGCTCTCTGCAACGAGTTCCCTTGTGCACCATTCTGTCTCTCTGCTCTGGCTTTTGCGACTGCCTCTTTAGCCTTGAGAATCTTTGCAGCATTCCCAAGAGCACCTGTGTTGACACTGGCACTTCTCTCGGCTTCTTGCTCTGGTGTCAGAGTACTTGCGCCTTCCTGTATGTATTTGAACGAGCTCAAGTCTCTTGCCTCGATGTTTTGCGGATCCTGAAGAGTGATGATGTCCTTTCTGCTAAAGTCTTGATCGCTGACCAAATCCTTCCAATTCTTAGCCTTGATGTTCAGACGCTCGACAGTGTCCCAGGCAAAAACATTTCCCGAGTTCTTCAGGGCGACAATGTGGGTGTTGTCTGTAAAGACTTTGTATGTGACGGGGTCGACATATTCTGCGTCGTCATTCTTTGCGAAGTTGAGCTTGATCAAATCGGCAGACTTGAGAGCGGCGCCATCGACAGGATTTGTGCCGTGCTTCTTGAGCCATGGAAGGATGTTTGTGAGATCGAAGATGGTTCCGTTGTCAGTGCAGACAGGGTGCTCAAAGGGCTGTAGCGAAAGGGCGCAGAAGTTGTAAGGAAGTCGCTTGAAGGCGCCAGGCACGCTGCCCTTGTTCACGCCAGATCCAGCACTAGCGGAGAAAGCAGTGTCGGAAGCCCACTCGCTGTGAGTGATCTAAGTCGCGACATATTAGCTTGCGCCTCGACTAACTTGAGTGAAGGTGGACTTCGACATACGTACAGCTTATCTGTGCCTACATGTGGAGTTAGCACCGCACGAACCTATCGTATTACAGCAGGACATACCTTTGCCCATGATGAATGTTGATTTTGTTTCTGCCAAAGTCGAGTGCAACCAAAAGTCGCGACCATGACGACGGCCTGGGTGACTTGACGCTAGCCTGATTGGGATGTTTGCGCCCGACTCTCCGCCATCGACCTCCTTCCTGCTTTACTTCGTGTCTCGGCCTGCGTTGTACAATCTGCTGCAACTTGACGGACCTTCTACGAAAAATTGTTTGCTACCGGCAGACACCGAGTCACGGATTCCGCCATGCTTAGCGCAAGCTTCTGCTTGCTCGTGTTACTTGCCACCCACGACTACCTTCCACATCTCACCACTTATTCAACCGTGCAGTAACATCCCAAGTCATTCATTCCTCCGTCTTTCAAGATTCAGCATGTGCTCCTCCGCAAGACCACTTTCAACTTCATCCATACGCTCTAACGTCATGTTCACGTGGTTATGTCTGTCCTGTAGTTTTGTTGTGCGTTTCGCTACACGTGTAAGTTGCTGTATCTTGAACGTCCAGCTCGTGTTAGGTGCCTTATAACGCGCTCCGTCTCTCGATCGTAAGTTTCTTTTCTTCCTTCATTCTATCTAACATCAAGCTTTCCTCTGCAATGATGATAGCAAGATACATCCCGCCTTACCTTCGCAGCACATCCAACTCAAGTTCAACCAAGTTCGGAGCTACGCACTCAGCATCTAGCCTTGGACATCCCAATCCAAACACCATGCATATCTCTAGAGACAACAGCCATTGTGTCTCTTCTCCACGTAATCTCTGTAGTTTCGAACTTGAGACTCGGGCTTACACTCGCCATCTTGCTCGACTTGCAAAGGCTACACCACGAAGAGACACGCCTGTAGGAATGAGGCCCATGGTGGTATACCCTATGACGCCGTCCGCCCCTGTTATTCGTACCTCCGGTCATGCAAGACCTATGGTTCCCGTATCAGCCGATACACAACAGGCACATGGAAGACCGAGGCGCTTCTGGGAGTCTGGAACACCCTGCGGCCGTGAGCGTCGTATGGGAGATATGCTTCCACCCGTGTCTAATGTCAATCATGGCCTTAGACCTCAGGCTCCACCCTTCGTGCCTCGAGTTCCTCCTTCGGTGTCCCGAGTCCTTCGGCCCATCGACTCTCCTCAGAAATTCCGAAGCTTGTCTCATACACCTGCTCGCCGCTTTGAACCGGCTGCCAAAGCTCAAGCCCTGCTCTCACTTGCCGACATAGCCATGCTCTTCGGCCTGAAAGAGAAGAGAGTCAAACACACTCTCAACGCCTCATTAGGACAACCAGAAAAACTTAAGTTTGTATTGCTCAACAAAAGTGCGACGAGAAACTGGCGTCAGCACCAAATCATCTATGCCAAGACCAACCTTCATCTACTTCCTGGCTTTGACCTTCCATACCCCGATATGGAGGACGAGAAGCTAGAGCTCGAGTACGACTACGATAGTGACTACTCCATGACCGATCTTATCGACCTACGCAGCCGCGCAGTCTCGAGGGCTTCCATGAGAGTTGAAGTCTCTTCTGCCTCTTCTAACACATCCACTCCGCCACCCTCTGTAGGCTCAGACAAAAGCTCATCGATCGAGACCACAACAGAAGCTAATGACTTCCCTCCCATCGCCCTGTTTGCTGAAGTCAAATCTCTAGATCAGAAGCGCGCGTTCAGATTCCTTGGCACATACGAACTCGCAGAGGTTGAGTTCTTCGCTCCTGGCACTACCGACTTGATGGAGATGTTGAACGAGAGAGCTGGTAGCACGACTTGGAAGACAGGTCTCAGCGCTGAGTGGGCCAAGATCAAGTTGATCAAGTTGATCAAGAGCGGAAGTCTCTAGTTTGTTCAATACTGGCTGGAGTTGGTTTGCTACCTTTTTGGTTCATTGGCGGTGATGTATGATTATGCTGTTGGCTATGAATGTAAAGTCAAGATATGTCTTGGCGTTGATCATGCTTAGGTTATGCTCAATGAATGATCCTCAGCTCCATCCCTCTACAGATGATTCCATGACCACAGCAGGATGGTCACTTTTTGCATGACCTTTTCGCAGACTTGTCGCAGACCTGACATGTAAGCTTTATCACGTAGAAGTAGAAAATCACGAAACTGGGCTCAAAGAAGTTGTTCTCAAGGAAACAGTATATGAGCAAGCGTGACATGTGTTTTCGAGGATCTAACACATTCCCGCTGCTATCCATCTTGCCAAACTAGGTGCATTGTTCAGATTCCAGGTAAATGAGTCCCCGCTCCTGCATTGCACGGCCATTGCTGTATCGAACGAGAAAGTGGAGATCGGGTTCCGAGCTAGTCGTACGCCCAGCCAGATCTATCGAGTTGTAAGCGTTACGTCTTTAATGTAAGAAGCTCCAAAGGATATAGTTACCTGATGAAGGCTTCAGTGGCACATGTGGGTGCAAATTGTACAACGTATCCGCGCACGAGGACTACTTCGACGGCTGATGATCAGGTCTCTGGACATCACGCTTGGAGGATTCACGAGTTTCTCAACATCACACTGCGTTTGAATAATCAAGGAAATGATGAATAGTATCCATATCTGGGGCGACCATATACTTTCATCTCAGCATGTAACCTTCACAGCCCAATACAAGCGCTCAATATCATGAACCCTACAGCGCACCGCTCGTTTCCCACACTGACTGTCATGATGGAACCGATGTCGTGCTTCTTCTCATTCACAAAATCAATCTATGCAAAGACATGTACCCTCTCCCGCCTCTCAGAGTTCTCATCACGGTACTCGACAGTCAGATGAGCATGACACTCCGTGGCACTTTTATGCCAGTCGTCCCTGCCAGATGTCAGTTCTGGTACACGTACGGAGTCCGAGGAGGTATACTCACATGACCATAGCCCTACTAGCCCAACCAGGAGCTTGATGGCGTACCTTCCTGATGATCGTGGCCTTTGAGGCTGCTGAGAATTTGACGTGGTAGTTGAAGGTGACTTGGAGTGATCTAGCCATGGCCGAGGAATTTGTTGAGCAGATGGAGGGGATTACTGGTATTGCTTGTGTCTCTGATGGGAGAAGGGGAAGGGATGATTGGTATTGACTGAGTCTGTGATAGCTAAGTCGGGGTTTATATACTTAGTCTGTGAACCATGGACATAGCGTAACATACAAACCATTGCTGATTCGTCTTACATTTTGTGCACATATGTCTGATAACCTGAGATCTGATCAGAGTAGTAGACACAGAGAAGAGACATGATCATAATTCACTAGGTGTGAGACTCAATGGAATTTTCCTCAGAACCCATCTAAGCCACGCACAATAACATATCTGGTACTATTCTGAGTGACAAGTTTCATCAAGGATTTGAGCAAAGTGGCGTATGGGTTTGTTTCACCGGTTTTCGATCTTTTTGAGACTGTCTCACATGGATGATGGAATACACATCTTAGCTATGCCCGAACGTCGGCGAAGAAAAGGACATAGGCAAGTACATATGCGGCGGATTTGTATCTATCTCCATCAGCCAGGACGCGTCAACATCACGATCACCCGGGTTCCCGAATCATGCATTTGACAAAGACACCAGCCTGATAGTTCATACATGCAGTGTAGGTCGTCCAAGAGAAAGTGAATAGTCTTGTTGCACCACGGACCTGCGTAAGTCCTCCTCAACCACATTCTTCCCAATTTCCCGAATCTCGTGGGGAAGTCAAGTTAATGTCCGGGTATCTTCTTCCAAATCCATCCAGACTGCCACTTAAGAAGCCTCCAAGGGTAGACATGAAATCTTTTCGCAACTCTCTTTGTGCCGTTTACGTAGTCAACAGTTATATGGATACGAGAGTCCGAAAAGCTCTTGTGCCATCCACACCTGCGAGAATGTCAGTAATCCAATCATTGATCAAGGCATGGTCTAGAGAACACAAGCACACTTACACAATCACAGCCTCTAAAGCCCACTTTGGAGCCTCCTTGCGAACTCCCTGCATGATCTTGGGACGTTGAAGACGTCTTCTCCTGGTGTACATGTGAGCGGGGTCAAATCTGACTTTGAGAGTGTTAGTCATGCTTGCTGGAAGGGAGATTGATTACTTTGACGGATTCTGCTCACTACAATGCTGCTGACTACTTCGTATATATATGCAACCAGAAAGTCTGGAGGTGGCTCTCGAGTACAGGGATCTAGCGTTAGGTGTTAGATTCAAGGATCAGAACAGTAGTGACTCTGAGATGTTCCAGTAGCCTGTGTCTATTGTGAGATGTCTTTGACTGAACAAAGAAGACGTGATAATTCTCAGACAGAGATTTGGCAAAGGTTTCGACCCGTATATTAGATGGTAGGGGTATGAAAACTGCACTAATGCACAGTCTTTTCTGTCTGTTATAATGGTCGAGGAGAAAGTACTTGGAAATCGAACACTCAACAGGTCCAAGTATTAGAGGATATTACTTGTGCTCCGTTACTTCGAGTTACATCTTCCATGTATGTTATAGTCGCGCCAATGCGCAGTCTTGTTTGATGTTCGCGATGTCGGACGAAAGGATGCTTTAGAAATCGATCTAGCCTTGCAGATACTCTGTTATCTTCACCCTCAATGTCTGTATGTATGGTGACTGCGCTAATGCACAGTTCTTTTCTCCTTAGCAATGTTGGAGGTAAAGAGTACCTGTGAGATAGTTCAGCTTTCTGATGACCTTCAAGAAAACTCCGATGTTCATGTCTGTGCCGTTCGTGTATAAGATGGCTGTGGATATGCACGGTGCTTTTTGCTGTTTGCAATGTTCGAGGATAGAGTGCGCTAGAGCTGTGCAATGTCAGGGATACTCTGTTGTCTTCATCTACACTGCTAGTGGATATATGAAAACCGCGGTAATGCACCGTTCTTTCTAATTTCCGCGATGCTTGTGGGGAGAGGGCCTGAGAAGTGATCCCCTTGAGGGAGTCTTTGGCTGGTTTGAAGAACGTGTGGAGACCTTACAGCTTGATTTCCATTCCCGACATGAGTATCATGCGCTATCCGTAGTTGCATCTTGGCCTTGTATGATCGTGTAGCGAGCCCAGAGACGAAGCGGCGGAGTAATGGCCTGACTCATGAAGCAGGTCCACATAAAGTTATTTTCTAGTTGCAAGACGTAAAAGTTGAGTAGTGTTATGACCAGCGTGATCTGCAGTGAGGAAAGCTCTTCGTTTCAATCTGCGAATTTTTGCCTACATACAAGTCTTCCCCAGGTGTACCGTCGGTGTGCAGGAATGACAACTCATTGTTCAAGGATTCTGCTCTCGAGTAGAGATAGTCGAAACATGCATGCATCGTGCGATATTCTCAAGTGTAGACAACTTCCTCAGACGTGCGAGAAATGGGGATGACCTTCATGAGGACATGCATGGTATATATGCTTGTTGCTACGCCTGCCGCGGAGACGGATATGACGGCCGGGAATTTGACGTCAATTTGAATCCTACAGATACGAAGCAGGCTTCGGTGCAGCTGCTGTCGCTGTCGGAAGTATGTGAATTACGAGAAGTATCTCTTTTGGCATACTCAGGCACTCAGCATTTTCGTGACGAAAGTCTGAAGGCGACTTAGAGCGCAGGACGACAAGAATTGATGTCGACGCTTCACTTGTGATGCACTGCCGGACTTTCCTCTTCAATATTCTGGACTTCGGACTGAAGGAATCTGTACCGCAGCACCAGGTTCAGCATAGCACAAGTGATGATAGTGGAGAATGCGAGTCCTATCATAGGTTCGAATGGCCATTGAGTGATTATCTTGACGAGAGCACATGCTACCATAAGTGCATCCAGCAGCGCAAAACCGGTCATATGGTGAAAATGTATATCGAAGGCATAAGTCGGAGATCACCAACAATCGTTCCGCAAGACTTTTGAAGGTCTGATAAGAATCTCCAGGATGGAAAGCATAATTGACAACATCAGAAAGTGTCGATCAGCGTAGAAAGAAGGAAAAAAAAGGAAAAAGGAAATAAAGATTGGACGGTTTGAGTGGGGTCTTGGCACGGCAGACGGATCGTCATGATCGAGTTGACTCATGGGGAATTTTGCGGAATTTGATATCACATCAGCAAACTCCATACAGTCATCTTTCTAGCGCACCGAGCTATTCGCGACTGGAACTATTTACTGGGCGATCGCTATCACTGCAACATTATCCTTCAGGAAACGCGACATAATTTGCACGTCGGAAGATTCAACAGCTACAGCAAACAAAATATTCACGCGCGACGAGAGACATCCACCGGAAACACAAAAGGACCATGTCGTCGACGGCAGGGGACGCGGACAAGGTCGCGAATGCGCCAGTACAGAACGGAGGCGCAGACAAAGCAGCAGGCGCACCCAAGAAGGAGAAGGCAGCAAAGCCCGAGGCTGGCAAGAAGGATGAAGCAGCAACAGAGGCGGACAACAAGAAGATCTCTGGCGCAGAGCTGAAGAAGCAAAAGCAAGCAGAGAAGGCAGCACGACGTGAGAAGGAAAAGTCGGAGCGTATGGCTCAGCTCGGTCAGACAGCGACACCGCAGACAGCAGCAAAGGGCGCAAAGGGAGGTGATGCAAAGAAAGGAGGAGAGGCAGCACAAAAGGGCGGTCCCACTCAAGGTCAGGCACACCACAAGAAGGGCCAGTCCCAAGGCGGAAACCTTCCCATGCGCGGCAAACCTGGACCCGGAGGAGTCATCCCAATGACTCAACAGCAACAGCCGCAGCGCAAGACAAAAGAGGTCGGTCTGTTTGGCCATCTGTACACTTCGGCTCCCAAGCGAAACACCATGGAAGGCGTCAGCAAGGAAGTTCATCCTGCCGTTCTGGCATTGGGCCTGCAGATGAGTTCATTCACTGTCTGCGGCAGCAATGCACGATGTGTTGCCATGCTACTCGCCTTCAAGAAGGTGTGTGATGACTATCCGACCTCTTACGTCCCCACTGCTGACATGTGCCATAGGCCATCCTCGACTATCAAACACCACACAACACCTCTCTCGCCCGCCATCTCACATCGCACTACCTCTCACCTCAGATCGATTACCTCAAGTCACACCGCCCCATCTCCGTCTCCATGGGCAATGCAATCCGCTGGTTGAAGGATCTGATTATCAAGATTGACCCAGATACACCTGAGGCTACAGCAAAGGAAGACATCTGCACCGCCATTGACACCTTTATTCGTGAACGCATCACCGTTGCCGACACCGCCATTGCCGCAACTGCACATGCAAAAATCCGCAACAACACCACCATCGTCACATATGCAAAGTCATCCATCGTCGAGAAGACGCTACTTCACGCATGGGAATCCGGCACTCGCTTCAAGGTCGTCGTCGTGGACTCGCGTCCTCTGTTCGAGGGTAGAAATCTTGTTCGCAGATTGGCCAACGCTGGCATTCCCGTCACATATCTCATGGCTGCCGCTGCTCCCCACGCTCTCAAGGATGCCGATCTGGTGCTGTTAGGTGCTCACGCTATGATGGCCAACGGTCGTCTGTACTCTCGTGTCGGAACTGCCTCAGTCGCCATGCTGGCCCACTTCCGCGACATCCCTGTCATTGTGCTGTGTGAAAGCATCAAGTTCACTGATCGTGTCGCATTAGACAGTATTGTGCTCAACGAAGTCGCGCCTGCTGAACAATTGGTTCCGAGCTCGAAGTCCACTCCTGCTCCTGCAGCTGCTGAGGCAAAGAAAGACGACAAGGACGATGTTTCACAAGCCAAGCTGGAAAACTGGCGCGATATGCCCAATCTGCAGCTCCTGAACATCCTTTACGATGTCACACCGGCCGAGTACGTCAACATGGTTATTACAGAATATGGATCACTGCCGCCTAGCTCCGTGCCAGTCGTACATCGCATCAGTACCGAAAGAGATGTTCGTCTGTAGAGCGATTTGAGCTCCAGACATATCAGAAGATAGCGACATGAAGAAATGAAAAAGCATCAATTATCATCAAAACAATCTGACACTCGAAATCATGCGATGGAATCTGATTGGATCGATCTTTTTCACTGTCATTCGTTGACGACATTGTGGTTAGACGCTTCCTAAAAGGGAAAGGTGAAATTTGGGAGAACAATACTAAGCTTCAAGCCCGCCAGATACTCAGCAACTGCCGCCTCCGCACCTCACGAATTCCGTTTGCAGAATGAGCAGACCAAGCTGAGCCGTTCTCAAAGTGTGTATTGGCAAGACGTTCCTTGGTGGTAGCTGAGGCTTTGTGGCGATCACATGCCCGGCAGGGGGCACATTCTAACGACGTCGTTTTCGCGGCAGACCTTATCCATCGGTTGCATGATCTTCTGACAATAGCGCTCACGACACACAATGATATCTGTCATTTGACTGTGAGCTGTGTCTGTGATCGTTCACAATGCCATCTCGCAGTCAACTGCCGATCTAGCTTCCATGTCTTTGTGCATACACAACAGTATCAAGACCAGCATCACAATGCCTACTCGGTAGAGATTGATAGAAAGCAATCTCCCAATGCCTCTTTCCTCTCTTCTCTTCTTTGACCTCCTCTACCTCTTCTTTATCTCTCAAACAAATCACACGGACCAAGTCATCGAAGATCAAGCCAACGCTTTTCGCCTCTGCCAACATCACCCGAGTCGACAACATCAAAGCAACCCCCCTCATTGTCTCACCTCCTTATATAACCACCCACAACCCACAACCTCGTCCCATTCACTTCATCAAGTACAAACAAACTTACACACTCATTAGTAAGCTTCCCAGACCACACCCACCACAAACCCACATTTACTTACGAGCCCACCCAGCTTTCCAAAGTACCAAACCACACACACACTCACACTACACAACAAACAATGGCTGCACTCGAATTCTCAATCTCCGGCGCCCCAGTCAACAACGCCACCATGGTCCGCGGCTACCGCGACAAAATGTGCGTCCTCCAAGGAAAAGGCCAACTCTACGTTTCTTCCTGCACTTTGCAGACTAAAGGTAGAGGACAGCTGTATGTCTCTTCCTGCGATTTGCAGGCAAAGGGAAGGGGTCAGTTGTATGTTTCCTCCTGCTCTCTTCAACGCTGTTAAAACACGACGGTGATTTTGAAAACCAGAGAGGAGGAGGCGAAAAGGCGGTGCTAGCGTTGCCTTTTTGCTGACGGAGAGGCTCTTTCTTTTTTGGCGTGCATGGCCTTTTTCAAAATCCGTTTTTACTTTGCTCTCGCAAATCTCGAGGGGGGATCGTTGCTGCAATTATTTGTAGCTGTTGGCGATGGTTTCTTGCTCTTGGGGTTGTCTTTTCTCAAATCCATTTCTTGCATTTTGTGCAACACATTTCACTTCTTCTCTTCTCTCGTGACTCGATTTGTTTTGATCGTTTCCATTTGTGCCATCTAATTCATCGCACGCCCAACTGTGTAGGTTATCAAAACTAGAGTTTTGAGTAAAACACTCATCTCGCAGATATCATGGTAGTGAATCATAACACGCACGAACTCTTTTTCCATCTTTATCCCATCGATCCAAAAGCGTAACAGTCAGTCTCTGAACCTCACCGTCAGGCCCCCCTCTTCCCTGGCACAACCCTTGCATTCCAGTCCAAAAATCTCTCCCGGACTGCCCTGCCATCTCCAGATGCATGTCCTCTATGCGCACCCAAGCGAAAAATTGTGTGTCCTTGATGTCATCATGTATACGACTGAGTGTCAGACAAAGAGGTACGATCCAGCATCCCCAATCTCCTGGCATTGTCATCAACCACTCCGGACCAATTTTGGAGTATGCTGTATACGCGCCGATCAGTTGTGCGATATTTGAAATTGTTGACGCAACGGCAAAGAAATCCGAAAATGTCGAGTTATAGCCCCTAAAATACGCGAAAGGCTTTAAGTCATCCCATCGCCAATGTATATCGCACAGATGAATTGGATAACGAGCAATAAACGCAAGGATCTGACGAGAAATGGTGATAAAAAGACTTGTCGTCACGAGACCTAGTCTTGCTTGGTGTACGGTTTTTGCGATCGTGTCATTGGTGAAATAGTCCCAGTTTATGAGAATGTAGAGAATTGAGCCGAAAAGTGTACAAACGAGTAGTATGTCCAAGGGACCGTTGGCAAGTTGGAGAGGCCAGAGGGTACGAGGCATCTCGGTGTGCTGACTATGTAGTGGGCGATAGATGTGAGAAGTAGACTAGATTGCGGACCGCGCACAAAGTGTAGGATTTGATCTATGCAGACGATGAAATTGTTCTTTCGATTGTCATTAGTATCACTTTAAGGGCTGATGAGATGGCGGATGAAATTGTCTCTCAAGTCGTGTGCATGACATGTGAGTTTTGCATCCTTCGACATACCGTGCCGCCTTCCGGGCGGTGTCTGAGTCAGTCACTACGTTAATTTTGGAAGACATTATTGAGCACAGATTGTCCTTGCGATCAACTTCGACCAGGCTATGTCTATCGTGTCCCTTGCGCGATGGACTACCCTTACGAGCTGCTGCAGAGTGCAAGATGTATAATCGCTAGCTTGTATACCGAAAGCCCGACGATGTCTGCTTGCCGTATGGAGAAACTTCGGGTCATCATAGAACCTCATCGTCCAGCAGAGGGTTACCTTGTATTGCATCTTGAAACTACCTACTTGTCCTTGATTCAAATTCCACAACTTTTGATTGATTCCTTTACATGGAGTATCAAAATCATATTCTCGAAAATGCGGATAGATATGCGAGGTCATCAGGTTATTGAGGATTCCAGTATGTCTCAATCAGTTGTAATTCACAAAAAATGGCCTCTCGGATGGCGACCATGTCCCCATGAACGTAAGGCTTGCTAGGATGATCGAAAACTCATTGTAAAGCTCGTGCAAGAAATTTCCTCCACTCGGATCTATAGAACCGCCATCCTCTCACAATTTCCTCGAACCCAAAGTGCTCGACAAGATTGATGCATGCCTTTGTGTAAAAGGATAAAACATCATTATCTTAGCCACGAATCGTCAAAATTTAGTTATAGGGTGGCGGAGTATAGATACTAATGCATCGTCGCCATCCGGGTCGATAGCGCATAGCTTCCCTCCTTGTGCAATGGTATGCTTGGTACGTGTCATTTGCGTTCAATCATAAGTCTCACCATTGAATCGATGGAAGGAAGAAAACCTTTAGTTCATCGACCCGTTGCGCGATCGTGGGTGTCGACGGAGTCTCCGGGTACACTACATTACGAAGACAGATTCCGCACCTTAGGATGGATCTTGCAGTGACCTTCCTCGAGAGAAGACTAAAAGACGTAGTCGGGGCCACTTCATAGTAGGCTTGCCAGAGAGGATGTGAGCTATATAGTATTCTGGACAAATGCAAGGGGCGATCTAAGGGGTCTTTTGCTTTAGGGACGATGGATTTTCTGTTCATACAGTTGCAAGAAGAAACAGATGAGTCTTGGCTTCAGACCTCGTTGAAAACATGAGTATATCTCTGACATGTTACGTGCACATCAGCTTGAGTCAGGAGTGCAACACCGCTAGTTCCAGATAGAGAGGTTGAGCAGTATATCATGCGGTGACCATATCTGCGAAGAGGCCAATACTGCAGATGGATTAGTAGAGCCAGCAGCCGCTATCTCATTACCAACACCATCCTCACCAATAACCGCGCACTCAGCTTTGAGGAAAAAGGAAGATCCTCCAGGTCAAAGTTTTGCGATTGAATGTATACCTCTGCTTTTGTAAACATTAGATCATGGACGAGTAGACGAATACATCAACAAGCTAGCGATAACAGTGTATACGCAAAGAGCAATTCTGCTCTCTCAACAACCATGATGTAAGGCTAGCAGGAAGGGAGCCAGGTTCATGACTCTGCTGTCCTCGGGGATCCCCCATCACGTCGTCGAGTGAGAAGCGAAGATCAGCGATGGCCTGGGTCTTGTAATGGGTATATCGCATGCCTGACAAAGGTTTACTGACCTGATGCCCTACACATGAACAGGAGTGGCTTCTCGCAGTCCGTATGACCAAGTGCTTCTGATAGATGATTGGTGATAGTTGGGAACAATATTCCAGTTTAGGCCGACGCCTAAGATCGTTTTGAAGACTGAAAAGATTGTGTTTTTATATCGACGGTCACAGGCATAGCTGCAAAGAATGGTCCCTGCCATCTCTCAGACTAGCGGTCAGGCGAGATCGGCTCCAAACGAGACGAGGCTCATAGTTATCGAAATCAAAGTGCACTTGTCAAGCACGGGGTGGATCAGAAAGAAAGAATAATGATGAACCAAATGACTTTTGCGATTTTAACGACTAGAAGGAAGACTGCAGGAGAGGGTGGTGAGAGTTGGGGTACTTTGAGAAGAGCGTTGGTTGAAAGATTTCGTGCCATCTTGCGTGGTAAAGGTGTGTATGTCAAAAAAGAAAGAACGAGAAAGAAGACCCCGGCAGAGACATTACAAAACAAGCATTTTTTTCCCTTCCCTTCTCAAAACTCCGAGTGCGATTGTTGGTGATTGTTGGTGGATAGTGCCAGGATCGATCTTTTTGGGGATGTGTTGGACAGGTCTTCGTTACTTTCGTTTGTCAGGCTTCTTACGAGGCCATGGCGCGGTTGCCTCCTCTACGGTTGAAGTTCTTAGTCTTGGCCGAGACGGTGGACCAGCCGTCGTCCTCCATGGTTTCGGCTGTTGTCTGGGGCTCCTCGGTCTTTCTCCAAGAGTCGCCGCCCTTGGCCGGCACCTCGCGTGTGATTTGTTGAGGCTTGACTTCCTTGTCGTCAACGATGGTGCCCTCGGCATCGGCATCAACAGCCTCCTTGTCGTTCTCCTCACCCTCTTCGCGGCGCAGGATCTCGTACTGCTTATCCTCGCCCTCCTTCTTCTCAGCCTGCTCAGCCTTGGTAGCGGCCTCCTTGGCGCGCTTCTCATCGCGAGCCTTGTCGTCTGCCTCCTTCTTCTCACGAATCGCGAGCTTGCGCTTCTCCTCAATCTCCTGCTCTCTTGCGGAAGTGTCGATGGGACGGGCAGCACCGAATGGCGAAGCCTTGGATGATGCGGCGGCGCTGTCCTCGGAAGGCTTCTCTGAAACGGTACGCTTTGCAAGGTTGAGTCTGGGTCTCTGTGCAGGTGCAATGGGCGAGGTGGGAGTGCTGGCATCGGGGGTCTCGGCGGGCGAGTCAGGCTTCATCTTTGATCTCCACTTGTCATCCATGTCTGCGGCGGTGGGCTGTCTCTCGGGTCTCTCAGGTCTAGGGGGTCTCTCGCCCGAGCCGGAAGCACGGTCGGCAGCGCCCTCACCCCATTGGGGAGCGGCTCTGGGCTCTCTGGGCTCTCTGTTGAAGTTTGATTCTCTGCGCTCGCCCTGCTGGGGTCTGGGCTCGGAGGCAAGAGGACCCTTTCTCTCCCAGTTGCCAAAGTCGCGGGGCCTGGCATCGACGCCCTCGGGGGGACCTTGTCTGAAACTACCAGCTCTGTCACCCATTCCGCGGCGCATACCACCGTCACGCTGTCCAGGGAGGTCGGGAAGAGGGCCCTTGCGGGTCCAGTCGTTGAGTTCGCGCTGGGGTTCACGGTCCTTGGCTGGACATTTTTGTGAGTACAGATGACGTGAAAGTAGCGTTTGTCAAGACTTACGAGGGTCAGCAACGCTGATGCGGATGTTTCTGCCCTGGAACTGAGTCTCGCTAAGGGTGAGAGCCTTCTTCAAGCCGTCAACAGTGCCGAACTCGACGTAACCGAAACCCTTGGGTCTGCGGTCCATCTTGTCCTCAACAATGCGGACGCTGGTGACCTCACATCCGTCGAGGAAGTCGCGGACATCAGCCTCGGTGACCTCGAAAGAAAGGTTACCAAGGTGAGCGGTGTATGGGGGCTTGTCGGGCATGGGAAGCTGCTCACGGACAGCGTAACCAGCGGTGCGGTCTGCAGGCGGAGTGTGAGTCGGTGTGTCTCGTTGTAGATGTGCGTCCTTTCTTACCGCGGAAACCACCAGCAGCGGCATCATCGCCAGCGGGAGCAGCGGAGCGGGAAGAAGCACCCCAGCCACCACCGGAAGAAGTGTTGGTGCGGGAAGATTGGTAGGGAGTGGCTAATCAGCGTGTTAGGTCGTCGGTCTTTCGCATCTTGTCAGGCGTGTTCCGGGTAGGACGTACTGGCTGCTCCGTGTTAGCCAAGTCCGTCTCTGTCGCATGCGCATACTTCACATACCAGGAAGAGGGGCAGTCTCCATCTCGTCGGCCCATGATCCGAGCGCTATAAAATTTCAGCCATGCATGTCCTTGCGATTCGGAGAACAGGTCGTTGGGCGCATACACTGGTCGTTCAAGAAGTCGCCGAGCGACAACTTCTGCTGCTGTGATTTCTTAGGTGCTGTATGTCGTCCATGTCAGCGCCTCATGGACTTTTTTTGCCTGTCGCCGCAAGCCGCAGCGCGCACTTGTCATGCGCCTGAGGGTGTCTTGGCCGTATATGACTGACCCATGATTGCGAGGTTTGAAGGAACGCGCTATAAGAATTGCGCGAAATTTTCTGGGTTTTGTGTTTGAAGTAATGAATCGCAGTTGCTGCGTATTGCTATCCAGTGCGAGCGGAATATCCAAACCCATTTCGCTGATCAACGCTGGGGCGCTGAACTTCTTGGCCAAGCCCGCTATCCCCGAAGGGGCATCGCGTACCCGAGTGTTTTCGACTTCTGCTCCTGCCTTGAGCCGTTGACGCTGTTGATCCTTAGAGTATCAGAGCATCCATCGTGCTTGCTTCAGTAAAGAATGGACCGTAACTTGGCAGCTCGCTCGCCTCAGGTTGAGTCTATCATTGGTCCTGCCCTCAAGATCGGTGCTCTTTCCGGTATGTCATATCCGTATCTTGCCCCTTCTCCACAAAGCAAGCCATAAAATAAAATGCCGACCGGCTCCTTCTTTGACTGCATATTTTGATCTCTGCCATGACTTTCCTGCTTTCATTGCACTAGTTCACCTGTTTCCTGGATCTAGCCTTCTGACCCGTACTCCAGGAGCGGCCGGTTTTGTCACTGGCGGTGTTGCAGGCGTAATACGAAACTCTCCTCCTCTTCTGTTTGCCATTGGGTCAAGCGTTCAGTGGTTTGGTCTGGGCACGACATACTGGGGTCAGTTGGATCGATGTCTCTCACGTGAACAAATGCTTATCAAAGATAGGCACACGTAGCTTTATCTTTCAAGCATGGGATACAGGCAAAGGCCTGACTAAACGCGACAAAGCCTCTGCTAGCACCATCGCTGGCGGTGTGGCTGGCAGTGGTGTTGGTCTTCTTACTCGTATGATCACTGTATCTGTTTCCTCTTGCACTCCGGCTGATGTATGCAGGTGGCCCTCGTAATGCAATCCCAGGAGCAATCATGTTTTCCCTCTTCGGCTTTGTCGGGCAATCTGTCGCCAACCGGTTCGACAAGACGGATTTACCAGCCTCGGATGAACCGCGTCTGAATTTCTGGCAGCGCTTTGCCAGCCTGAAGTGGATGCCGGTTACTGTTCTCGATGATGGCGAGTATGAGCACATGCTTCGCGAAAGACAACTCAAACTAGAAGCTGAGATTGCACTTGTGGATGAGAGAATTGAGGCTCTCAAGGCACAGCACACTCAGGCTATTGCCACCAAGACAAACGCTCCCTGAAAGACATGCGGGCAGCCGACTCATTTCGCACACGAGTGTACGCCAACAAGGTCAACCGCCGACCAAGTGCATTGCCATTCAAGTCTCGACATCACATCTGCCCCACGACGACAAGGAAGAACCATTTCGCCATCGCGGTAACAAGCTTAATCGTCAATGCACCACTGACGCTGCCCAAGGATACCTGTGTCGTAGGCCCAGTCCACGGACCTCGCAAGGTCAGAGTTTCCACTCACGAGACCAAGAGGATTTTGGGCCCATCGACGTGCGAAGATGTAAGGGTGACTAACAACAAGATGTGAAAGAATGCTGCACACGGTGAACAGCAGGAGGATGTCTCGTCAATGTCTCGCCGTCATACCATGTCAACAATGATGAAGTAAGTAGAAAGAGAGAATCAAGAAACTTCATTATTCACGAAGAAAAGCAAAAATAAAGTCACTTGTCAAGTGGTCAGGGGAATTTTTCACTTACCCGTCACTTTTGGTTGATGTATCCGCCCATATGCTCGCTCCGCGGGTGCTCTCAGATCTCCTCCCCGCCTGAAGTGTTTGTAAACTAACCTCTCCACAAGGCAGCCCCTTCACGACAGACGTCGTTTGGGGATTTTTATCGCCTGGCGATCAGACCCTAAGCAGGGTCATCTCGCCTGCCTAGGAAGGAGTCTAAAGTGTGGAATTAGCAGATTGACGAGTTGGGGAGTTGAACTGTGGTTGTTAGATGGTGCTGGGTATCTGGATGCGGTCAGCGATTTGGAAAGCTTGAGGTGGTTGACGATCACTAGACTAAGTGACTTTTTGGATAAAAGGGCTTTGTTTGCGTCACTAATATGGTGTCCAGTCTTACCGGAGAGGAGATTGGAGCCGGAGCGTTCGGTGAGCCTTCCCCTTTCGGAAAAGTCAACACAGCCATTTCTCTTTTTTCCTCTCTCTCGTTCGTGCCATTGCTCAACTCCTACTATCATCAGCCCCCTCCCCTCAAGTGTCTCGACAGCAAAGCACCCGATGTTAATACAGTCATCCTGAATGTCCCTAAGCGCTTCGGCGCAAACACTAACTCGCAAACCTACAAAGATTACGCAAGAGCTGCCCCGCCGTGCTCTGCTGAGACAAACTGCGATAGCACTTACCAAAGCGGCACACATACTTCAGAGAGGCAATCGGGAGTACGCACTACTGCGAGAAAGCACGATCGACCACTCCTTTTGCCCTTCCGCGTTTTGCTAATGCTTGAGTAGAAAGCTGTGTCTGAAGGAACACTCGCGGCTTTGTCTCGCCTCTCGCTTTCTTGTCGTAGCAAACTCACCGTCGACCATGCTCCATTGAATCATCGTTCTTTCGGGACTACGCTGCTTGCTTCACATTGCTCTTCACGGTCCATTTACATGTGCCCATAGACTACGAAGTGCCCCTTTCCCGTTCATACCTGTGCTGTTGGTGCAAACGATACTCGAGCTCTCGCGGCAACTACGTCGACACGATGATCCGGTCAATGACAAGTATAACAAGGTACGGCTCACTTCCTGAGGGTGGACGATTGCTCTGTGCTTGTAGTAAGGAGCTGCAGACTTCTTGGCCGGTGCCTGGAGATGATGACTTGACTGCGTGTGTACGTGGACGTGCTGTCAACCGTTTTTGGTACCTCGTTCGAATGGCTGATAGTTTTGTTGAGACTTGACCCAGGAATTGGTTTTCATCAGCTCATCATGTCGTACCTTGAGATCTGGAGCTCTTGTTCGCGTTCTGGAGTTCAGCTTCCTCGTATGAGGTGCTTGTTCTCCTACTGCAAACTAGAGATACATCTCTAGTGTGAATTATGCTGCTGTATGGTCCTAAGGTGAGTCTTAGTCTTTGTATGGTTCCCACCAGCTTTCAACTCCATATTTGCTCTTCACGACAGCTGATTGTCAAACCAAAAATTCGATGTTCCCTCACGACAGAGTGTAGACATAAACCCTGCTGACTAGTATAAACACCTTCATCATCCTTCCACACACGCTATCCCACATCTGAAAACACACAAAACACATCGCTACACGCACTTACCAGCGACTATGTCAGGCATTGGAGACCTCAAGGAGCAAATCATCGGTACGTTACCTTTTGTTCCTTCCCATCCACTGCTGTCCTTTGCAGCACCCCTGACATACTCACAGAGAACATGGCCCATATCGGCCACGACTGCAAATGGGATCGCTTCCTCCTCGGCTACAAGGACAGAACTTACACCCTCGTCTACTTCTTCAAATATGATCACGCCAACAACCGCGTCGACCGCACAGTCGTTCATGGAAAGGGCGACACTCCTGAGGCTGCTTACAGAGCTGCTCTCGAGATGGCTGCCATCATGGTCACTGAGAAGAGGGATGTTTATGAGCTTCGTTGAGGAGTACTTCGTGGTGATGGAAGTGTGTCCGGGTGGAGTTAGATACCATTTGGGTCGATGAGGAGTCGCTTCGAATGTGTTCTCCGGCATGCGTTCCTGTTTGTGGAAGTTCTTCGTGCATCAACGCAAGAATGATGGCATATGGATGTTGAAGCAACATAGGGACGCAACGGGTACGTTCTCCAGACTTCGTACAAGTTGATGGGGATGCCTTACGAATCAGATCAAGCACTGTAAAGCATATACAAACATTCCTTTATTTCCTTTTCTTGTCGAACAACCTCTGTAACCTTCGCTCCTTTGGTTGATATATTCTGTCTTCTCCTCTCTATCACCCTGATTCGCTCTTCCCTGTCGCCAAGTTGAAGGCGATCAGACGCTCTCTTCGGATCAGTTCCCTATGCTTTCACACACATCGGTGTTCCTCGATGGGTTTTCTCGTACGTTTCCTGCTCAGAGACTATGACTGATACCGACACTCAAACCCACACGTACGGCACTAAGGCTTTACCAATATCCCTTACTCGTCAATTATCATCTCATCATCTAACTCTCTCCTCGCAAACATGGATTCATCGCGCCTGCCTCCAGCTCGCTCGACATCCACAGAACTCGACCCTATTGAGAGCCAAGAACAACAACTGATGTGGTCACTCAAAGACGTCATCACCTGCCGCACTCTGATCACTGGTAAACCTTGCACTGCTCTCAAGCCACGTTCATTCGCGTCTGACCCCCTTTACCAGATAACATCTCTATCACTTTCGACATCAAGAACCCCAAAGATCTTCAATTTATCCTCGCCTATCAGCCTGAGGACGATCTTCCTTGGACTCTGAGAGTCGGTCTTGACTTCACCTTCAATCCCAAGAAGAGAGACAAGAGCGAGTGTTTGCTGGAGGTGTCGGGTGTTGATCCTGAGATGGCATACAAGCGAATGTTGGAGGCCACTGCTGGTATGATTACTAGAGGAGAGTGGGGCGGTTTCGTGGAGGAGTGAGATGGGTTATGGTCGGTGCTGGTTAAATGGTTCAAGATCAAGCGCTGACAGTTTTTAGACCTCCACTATCATCTAAGGGAGTTGATCACATCGTCTGGCGAAGATGATTCTGCGATCGAGTTCTTTCTCATCCTGCAGAATGCTCATCTCGCGCGATTGAATAGCTTGAGTTGAAGCGGAGGCTTTGCTATGGACCATGGAGTGTCCTCCATCATTTTTCCTCCCCTGTAATCCATACACTACTTTCGGAACTTTTTATGCATCAACCAAACCCCTCGTTTCCTTGTCCCGCGATCCAATAGTGATTTTAGCAGCGCAAAGAGCCCAATTCACGCACATTGTGCTTAAAGGTGATGGACTACGGTGAATCCTGATAGAGTTACTTCCCAACACCGAAACAGAGTACGCAGTTGGCATTGGTGTCATATGTTCAAAAGTCCGGATAATACACACAGCGTCCTCTTTGGTCTGACGGTTAGTACACTGGGTATTCACGACATTCACAGTCCAGTCCTTATAACACCACCTCTCCTCAAGCTTCTCCTTTGGAAAGTCTTTCCAGCACAACAACAACAACAACAACATCGCAAAAGCGCGAATCAGTCTCCGAACCAATTCAAAAGACGATACTCTACAACAAACAAGATGTCTGAGATCATGGGCCTCCGTGAGCAGATCAAGGGTAACACCTTTGCGCTCCAATTTACACCAGACTTTCTGCTAACGCTACGCAGACAATCTCGAAGAGATGGGCTGCATACCTTGTCCCGGTCGCTTCATCTTGAGCTAAGAGAAAACCAGCTTCGGCCATTTTTGAACCGTAGTCCTCGCCGAATGTGCCCGCCAGGTTGTCAACAAAGCTCCTTGTCAGGTCGTCCTAAAGGGTCAAGGTACACAGAGATATGCTTACCCAGCCGGCCCTCGAACTTGGCACCTACGACATGCAATACAAGATGAACATCTCGATGGCTCAGAAGTCGCTATGTCTTCCATCAACTCGTCGTCAAAGACTTGATACTGAGATATTTCGCGTAGGGATAGATGTTGACACTCAGCATTGTCGCTTGAGTCTACTCACTTCGTGCATCAAAGGACTAATTCTCAGGCACGCAACTCCAGTCCAACTCTCAATCGCCCCGAACCTGAAGGACCCCTTTGACTCAAAGTTTAGGTCAAGGAAGAGCAGACTTGAGTAACTCGTCTCAACAGCTCCATCGCATCGACTGTGCAGACTTTTGACCTCTTGACGCGCAAGCTCGTCCAAGGCTTTACAACAGGAGCAGCTTTCAGTACAGCATCGAAAGAAAGATGCGGATCCCCAAGGATAATGACACAAGAAAAATAAATGGAAAGAAAATGGAGAAAAAAAGATGGCTTCTCTTACTGCTGGCAGAATGCAAAGGGCTACTTGGAGACAGTCAATAAATTGTCATAAGCATGGGAATAACCTAGATGGTCTTCTTGGTTAGATTACTTCTAACTATACTATGCCACTACCGATGCCAAAAAAAAAATGCCACACCCCCCTATCCCATAACCAATGCAAGAAAAAAGAAAAAAATGAATCAATCATTAAAAATGTAGAGAGAAAAGAAAACTCGTAAAATCCATGCAATGCTAGTGCTTTTTTCCTGTGACGGTGAAGAATGCCGCTTGTGCGTATGTTTGTGTTTTTCCACTCATGGAAAGAAAATGCCTAGTTACCAGTAGAGCTCCCATACATGGATTGTTGACGAGGAGCCTGGTAGTAAAGACTACTATCGTACTCACTGTCCATGTACATAGTTGCTCTCTTTTCCTCTTCGTTGAGGAGTTGGGCTTTGAGGTCCCAGTTGTTGACGCGAGCGCCGACGGAAAATTCGAGGTCTTCTTTAGTGATGGAGTCCCAGAACTGGTGATGCGTTAGTGGGATGTAAGAAGGGGGGGGGGGGGGGGGGGGGGGG